AAAGAGGCTGGCATTGGAGAGGCAACAAACAAAAAAAAAAAAAAAACTAGTAATATTATAACTAGACTGTTGTGGCAGTGGGACTGACAAAGGCAAACAAATGAATGGAGACAAACACATACAAGGAAAATAACTGGAGACCGAGGTGAATGAGATGAGCTGCTTGCAATGGTAAGAACAGGACAACTTGGCGTGAGCTGGGGGAGGGTCTTTGTTCCATTAGGGAATAGAAAGCAGAGAAATAAATTATAATTAAACATTTCATCAGCATTTTATTAATTAAAAACATCAGAAAAAAATTAAAGCCATCACTGCATTTATTTTCACCACAGGCAATTGCCCTTGTCCCCATTCACTCCATGTCATTCGCTGCGCCCTAATGTCGGACACAATGTTTAGTTGTTTTAAAGCCCCACCCTGGCTGCTGCTGGGAGCCCTAATATAACCCAGCCTATGGATGAAGGGTGTTTCTGGGACTGTCTCTGGGTAATCCTCATCTGAATGGCGACACTTTGTGCCACCAGGTGTTTATCACTCAATGTGATGCCCTGGTGGGATTGAACAACAGTCAGTCACTGTCACCGAGAAATACAAATTCATAAAATCCAAGGAGCCCAATTTTTCATCATATAAACAATTGTTGGCAACAACAACAACAACACACACACAAGAGAAAAGGTAGGAATTATACCAGTTCAGAACCCGAAACAAAAATAAACTCCAAGTCAGAAATAACAAAATATTACCACTAATTTTGTTTTGTTTAGGAACAGTATCTTCAGACATTATACTCTCAAGACGCATGAGGGGAAAGCCTTGGCTCACTCTTCTTGTTCTAGTGGCTTCAGGAGAAGAAAAATGTGGCTTAAATCTAGCTAACACAGTTCAGCACAAATTTATGAAATAACCACTGACTCAAAAGTTAAATATTGGATTAACAGCTAAACACAGGTTTAACAGCTGAACATTGTTTTTAACAACTAAATATCAATAAACTTTGATTTAACAGCTAAACATTAGTTTAACAACTTTTGCTACTCTGTTTTTAATCACTGCAACTTGAGATGTGGCATGACAGGTCAAAAAAGTTTATAACTATGTACAAAATAAATGTCATCAGTTTTGATGAAAGATAAATAGCAAGAGGACAGTATCTCTCTTTATGTCTTCATTAAAAGATAGAAGAAAATAAGGCTTGCCTCCTTCAGACATCTTGAGCGCTTCAGAAAGTTTTTGGAAGGCCGTTCTCAACCACTCCGTGAGTAGCCCAAGAATACCCCCCCCCTCCCTCACCAACCACCCACCCACTTTAACTAAGCATATACTTTCTCCTTTAAAGTTTTTATTTCCAAATGTCGTAATATACCAAACAGATAAATTATAATTATTTAATACTCAATACATTATTATTAGGCAATTAAACAAGACTTACTAATACTGTCCCACCTGCCAATCACAAGAAAATTTTTAAGGCAGCCGAGTCATCCCAATATTTTCTTTGTGTCAGCACCCCTGCCTACTACTGATACACAATGGGCATCAACACTCACACTGTTCTGGTTTGCTCAGTTAAGTGTGTTGTTTCAAAGACAAACCAAGCTTTAGACCAGAGGTTCCCAAAGTATGTCGTTTATAACTCCATTTCTGAGTGAAAAAGTGAAAATAGTAAAATCTCTTTTTCAGGCCAGTGGCACACTTGCCATATGATGCTAGGCTAATATTTGTATAGACCAAATGGCATTCAAGGGTCTTCCACTCGATCTATACCCGACCAACCATCAGAGAAAAGACAGAAAATATTTACTCTCCTCTGGTTAATTACTGCAACTATTTTTAATTAGTGTACATTCATCAATCATAAAATGAAGGATTCCTATGTTTGTAAATATAATTATACATAAGAAAATGTCCAGAACATGCAAAAAGGCAGTGATATGAACAATTAATAGAATCAGTGCAGAAATAAATGCTTCAAGCTAAGTAAATACAGGTAAGTGTTTTATGCCCTATAGTGTGGTTTCATATCTAAAAGCATATGCAGCAAAAAGTGATTTAAACAAAAATCATACCAGAAACAGCAGACTGTTGGGTATCTGATATAAAAATTATATAACAATAGAAAAAAAGCAAACATCTAAAGACTTACAAATAATTACAAATAAGTTTATTTCTTGCTTAAGCAAATTCTAATAAATCTAAACAAAGTAAAATTAGTCACTAAAGGAACAGTGGATGTATGATGCTAGCCCTCTATTATTTAAAGACCAATCAGCATTCGATAGGAGATGACAGGAATTTCACACCAGTTGAATTTACTTCTATCATATTTTCTATTACTGATGGTAGGTTGAGTACAACTGGCACTCCAGCTGATATTACAATCTCTCACTTGGTCAGACATTCTTCAATTAGTTGCTTCAAATGTCCCATAACATAACCCTTGACCCATAAGGGTCGTGGAGGTGTACTGATGGAAGCACTAGCACTTAAAACCCACCATCTTTCTCTGTCTTCTGCTTGTTGAGCAACTGTATTCTATTTTAGTCCTGTCTATTTCTCGATGTTGTCATTCCATGTTCTTCTTTGCCTCCCTCTTCGACTATCCCAATATTATTGAAGTATCTACAGTTTTTGCAATCAAATCATGTCTCACTACATGCCCAAACCAGACTAGCTTGTGATGTTTCACCACTGCCAAAACAGACTCCTGATGTCCTGCAAATTTGTTTATTTTGTCTCTTAAATATCTGTTAGCTTTATGTTCTAAATAGCTAGTTCATAAAATGTGTCTACAGCATTTATGTTCAAAAGCCTGAATCATCCTTTCCATTTCCACAATGAGAGTTTTGAGTTTAAGCTCTATGCAAGAACACTGCATTAATATAGATTTAACTTCTTCATTACCAGGCACGTCATCAGAATTTCAAGAAGGCTGTGTGGTCTCGAGGCATGGTGTCCGCCTCGAGTGCTAGAGGTTCCGGGTTCAATCCCCGGTAAGGTATGGGATTTTTTCACGTGGACGGACTTCTAGTAATTTCCCCTGGTCTCTGGGTAGTGACATCGGACGCCTGTGTCCATTGCTGCGCACGTAAAAAAATCCATTGGCAGTTGCCCAAGCAAAATTTTGAGTTAAAAATCTACCCAAAGTATTTCAGGATCCTCGCCGGTGCTACAGAGCCTGTGCACTGTGCTGAGCTTCTGCGGACTCAGACTTGAGTTAGAAGAAGAAAGGAGCACTTATGGGTTACTACCCGTGTGCCATGATGCTGATCCATTGTTCAAAACCTCAAACCTCATCAGAATTTCATTACTAGTTCAAAGACTGTCCACATTTCTGAATCTTCTTTTAACTCCAATAGCTGATATACTAACTCATTAATTTTCTTTTTGTTCTTCTTTTCCTCATTGTCCATGGCTGTAAACTCCAGTGGAATGTTTTGGTTGTTCTTGAGTGCACATCCATTTGACAAATGTGGCTTATTTTTATGCAGACTATTAGTTCCTCCTCTCAGGCAGATGCACTCTGACTTTGAAATAAAGGCCTCCACTCAGTCACCTCCTATGATGTTTGTTACAGGGTAAGTTGGTGTATTCTTCCCCCCCCCCCCCCCCCCACCGAATGGGACCCTGGAACCAACACAGGGAACATTTTTATCTCAATTGTTTAGTTTTTTTTTTAACCTTCCGCCCACAGCATCATTATTTTACTTTCTTTGGACTCATACACTGGCTATTTTAACATAGAACTTCTCAAGATTCATTCATTGTCTTATTTTTCCATGACATATCTCATACTGCTCTACTGCTTCTGTGCAATCACTTCGATATCATGGATAGAATCCATTCTAGCACATTTGGCCTCTCTTATCAACATCCACTTTACGGTTTCTCTTGGACCTCTTCGTTTCTTCAATCCCTTTGTTTCACATTTCAGGGCCTGTTTGGTGATTTTCTGTTTATGTCTCTTTTCAGAATGTGTCCACAATATAGCACCATCTTCTCTGTCTTACAACTGTTAATATTAGTGGTCGCCAAGCTATATCTCTAATTTCTTCACCTTTCTTAAGTTCATCACACTTTAACTTCATCATTTCCTCAGGCATTTGTTTTCGAATGAATTTAACTGTAATTCCATATCTTTAGCGCTTCTCTACCTTTCACTGACATATGTTAAAACTGTAAAAAGATACTGAAAATATGTAACTTGGTTCTAAAGCTATGTTATTTAGAGATCCATATTTTGTCCAAGCTTTTAAAAACTGCTGATGCATGCCAACATGTATCATAATTGTTTTGGTTGCGGTTTTTTCTACAGGAATTTGTTAGGATCTAAGAAGTAAAAATTACAGGCTGATACCCAAAGAGTTAACTAACCCAGTTCTGCCACACAAAAAAAAAGAGGTAACCTATCAATTTAACTAGTTTGAAAGTCTGTTAAATTAGTTCACTAGTCTAAAAATGTAACTGAAAAAATAAAATGGAATCTGCAATCTAAAAGAAAAACGATTAAAAAAAAATTCTGAATAAAAAATTAAATTAATAATTTGAGGGAATAAATAGAAATACATTCTGCTAAAAAGATACATTTATATTTAAATACTGACTAAAAGAAACCTAAAAATAATAAGAACACAAACATAATTTAAAGACTGGTCTATTTCACTCATCTCGCCAGGGCAAACTACAGATTTCTGTCAACATGTAGAAAGCAACAACAGCAACAACAACAAAAACAAAAAATTTATTCTTTTAGCTAAAGAGCCTGAATCTCATAGTAAACTCTTCTACTGCAATTTGCTACATCCTCATTATTTAAATTTATAATAGAAAATTACTGCTTTAAAAAGAACCTGTCATAAAATCTTATCTTATAAAAACTTATCTTAAAAAAAAAATTAAAAGAAACAGCTGGTAAAAACACAGCAGTAAAAGTAAATAATGAAATACATCTACTGTGACCTTTTAAAAATATTGCATTTAGAATTTCAAAAATATGTTACCTGGTCGGCTGCCAACTGGTATTGATAGGATATTGGGTGTTGTAACATCAAAGTTAAATGCACGCCAGGCAAAGGATATCTCTGGGGAGAGGTCCTTCAGGCCTTTACTAAGCATCTGGTACAAGGCATCTTTGAAAAGCTTCAAATGGAGAAAAAAAAATATTTTCAAGACTGGTATCATTATAATTCAATTTCTTCAAGCAAAGATTGTTTTCTATCACATCTTATTTTTTTAAACTCTCCACAACATACCTATCCTCTCCTTTACCCTCACAACATCAGTGTCAAAACATTCTCTTCGGGAAACTCTCCATCCATGGACTAACCCTGTCACCAGCACAATTTTCTCTGAACTTCCTCTAGTGGCTAGGGATATACTGTAACCTTAAGTACATCCTAGTTAACCTGTGCCCCACCGCTGAGGCACGGCCTCATGTCATAGACCTGTATTAAAGACTGGTTCATTTGTGGTTAAGGAATATCAGATAGTGTGACATTTACTAATACCATTTTCCTCATATGTGAGAGATTCTATTGCAGATGCCGTAATGTAATTTATGTCATCATCATCAGCACATACAAATGCTTTACGACAATGAGGCAAAGTCTAGTAGACAGGTTCAAAGCAACATCTTTCTGATGTGCAGAACGGTGCTTCTAAACCAGTGCCTATGTACTTAAATTCTCAGGGTCATAGAGATGTCTTCAATAATGAGGTTACTGTGATCAAGTCCGGCCACTCCAAAGAAAGAGTCTGCAAGAGTCTTGAGAACCACCTTATCTGTTTTATGGTCTCCAACTCATTTAACTCCTTAAGGCCCAAGCAACGGTGTGAGCGTTGATTGAGAAGTACTGTTTTGCCCAACCAACACAGTCATCGTCTATCATGTATCCCGTACATTTTGCTTCGCACACAGCTCCGTACTTGTTTCTAATGTTCGGAAATATGATTAAACTATTCAGAAAAAGTAACTCTGCCAAAATCCTTTCAAATACTTTCCCTATCAGAAACCACATGTGTGTAATTTGATCAGATTTAAAGTGAATTTTTTTTCAACAGTGCATTTTTTAAGTTCTTTTTCTAGTGCCATGAATACCAATGTTCCCACCACAAGTGCAGGTCGAAAAATGCGTCTTTCTGCGGCCGAAGCTCTGAAATTGTTTCAGACAGATGTTTTAATTCTGATAATGATAATGAAAATTTAGATTTCTTGGAAAATGATTCAGGCAGTGATTTTTCACTGAAGGATAAGCTGTTCTGAATCTAGCGATTCTGATGAGTTTTTTTACACAGACAATGTCCCATTGCTACCGTATTTATGGTGTGAGAGAAGGAAAGTGCTCTTAACAAAGAGATTGTACTATACTATGGCTAAGCTACATTGAAATCATCGCAGTTACAGTTTGTATATAACTGTAAGTAAATAGTATGTGTGTAATGGCTCATTTTTCGGCCATTTTTTTCTCTGAAATATTACTCAGCACTCTGTGAGAACTAAGAGCCCTTGAGTGCTAAATTAACCCAGAAACATCATAACCTTGGAATTTGTTAGGAAATTGAACAAACTTTGAAGTTTTGTTCTCAGATTTGGATATTCATTACTCTTGTGGCTGCAAAATCATGGTAAGTGAAGAATTTGTAAAATGTTGTTGTCGTGAAATTGAAACCTGCTGAATTCTTCTTTCCTACTAACTATAAACAAATTAAACATAAACTTATCATCAGATTAGAAATGTACATTCATTTCTCTTTAAAAATATATATACTTTTAAAAGGATTAGAAGTATATTACATTCTCTACTGCCTTTCTTGTACACCCACACCTCTGCCATTTTTGTAAAGGGAAATTAATGTGGGCTAAATCTGTCAAAATTCATGGGCCTGAAAGAGTCAAGGGCCATAATGTCCAACAGAGCTTTGTCTAAAATTTTCAACTGATGACCCTTGCCATAGTCTGCCAAGCCTTCTCTTGTCAAACATAAATTTCCAAACAGAAACTTCAGCGGTCTCCACGGCGAAGTGGTCAAGCCATCTGCCTCATGCTCTGAAAGTCATGGTTTCATTTCAAGGTTGCGTCGTTCAATTCACAAGGGCAGTTTTTATGGAGATCCCTGTAGACCGTCGCTGCAGCGAGGGAGTTTGTGTTTTGTGCGATGCTCTCGGCAGGCAGTTAGTTGTTCTGCAGAGAGAGAGAGAGAGAGAGAGAGAGAGAGAGAGAGAGAGAGAGAGAGAGAGAGAGAGAGAGAGAGAGAGAGAGAGAGAGAGAGAGAGAGAGAGAGAGAGAGAGGTAGAGAGAGATTGAGAGAGAGAGAGAGAGAGAGATTGAGAGAGAGAGAGAGAGAGAGAGAGAGAGAGAGATGAGAGAGAGAGAGAGAGAGAGGTAGCGAGAGATTGAGAGAGAGAGAAAGAGAGAGAGCAAAGTATATGGGATAAAACCTGGTGCAATGCAGCGATCCTCTCGATGTTGACTTGTAACTTTAAACAGACTTCTAGCATCAGGCCTAACTCAAAGAGTTTCTGCTGTCAAGATGTCTTTCTAGGAGAGATCTCAACTCAAAGAAAAGTGATTCTGTGTTTTCCTGAATGTAACTGTATCATTGTTTATATTATATGCTGATGAAAGCTTTACAGCCTCAACACTCATTTGTTGTTCGTGACTGTTATGTGAAGGTGACTTGTTCTACTCATATGATATACCTTTTCATTGCATTCTTTATAGCAAGCATGTTGCTAAAGTAAACAAATTAAAAGTCTGCTGAAATTAATTATGTTGGGCTGAAAGACTCAGATATACCTGCCTAGCTGTAAACCATAACACATCATACCAATTATTCTTTTAACAGTAAACGCAGAAGAAAAAAAATGTAATTAGTTCATGATTACACACATCACAAATGGACTGACCGGGATAAGACTTAGACAGATATTGCTAACTCCAAAGATCTTAGATATTAAATTGTCAATCAAATGTCCAGAAACTAAAATGTCTTTGCAATGGAACCCACAGTGGCACACAAATAAAGAAAGACCAAAAAAACACACGCAGAAAGGAGCTAGAGAGTGAAGTTAAAAAGATGAGGAGGACATGGGGGAGAGCTGGATGCAAAAGCAAGGACAGAACGACTTGGTTGAGTTGGTTGAGGGCTATGAACTGTTGGGGGTTAGAAAGGCAGAAGAAGGAGAAGAAGAATGTCCAGAGAAGGAATAGTTTGTGTCAGCAAGTTATATTATAATTTAGTGACCAGCTTCTATAAAATATTAGGATTAATGGAAACCAATGAACTCACCAAGTACTCAGAAATTCTTTAGAAAATATTATTTTCTCGATTTCTGTTTTATCTAACTGTTACATTAACTCACTGTCATTCAAAGTCAGAGTAGATCAGCCTGATAGGTGAGGGACCAACAGTCTGCTTAAAAATAAGCCAGAACTGTACAGCGATTGTGCACACAAAACTCAAGTTCTGGAAAAAAGACTAAATCCAGAAGTAGATGAACAACTGAGCTTTCTGCCACAGCTTACAGCTGGTGAGCACAAAGACGAAGACAAATAACTCACTCCAGTGTAATTGTAACTTAACAATCTTCTTTCCAATAAGTTTATTATTTGGATTATTTAGACAAAACATTTGCTATTTTAAAATAAAAACTGCTTCGTGCAGGAAGAAAAGACTAATTTACTTCCTAGACACATAAAAAGTTAAAGAAAGGAACAGATACAATTATTTACGAATAGAATTTGAGATGTAATATTTTATATGTCTATTCTGACCTGAAAGTTGTGAGTCTTAGACATCTGCTTATTGTCCAGATATGGACAGTAACTTTTTACAAGATCTGCTGAAGCCATGCTGAACTTCTGAGCATCTGAGAATCCCAGCAAACATTTTCCCAGGTTGGCAATCAACTGTGTGGCATATTCACGAAAACGAAGGCTCTCCTGAAAAACAGCAGACATCCAGTTTAATGCTTGTCTAAGTAATCCATTGTAATCTCTCTCCCCCCCCCCCCCCCCCCCCCCCCCCACTGTCAGGCATCACTGTCATGCTCAGTTAATCAGTCTAATCAGTCAGGTGGGAAGGCATAAACTTATTTATAATAAGATAGTGTGGCAGTTTCCCCTTTACCTTTCACATTCGCATGGGTGGTTTGTGACCTTCACCTCTGAGAACAACACACTGTCTGGATAATGAGTGCTCAGATACAGAGCTGCTTACGTTTTCTTCTATCTTTCATTTCTCAAAGGAACCCCCCCCAAAAAAAGCCTTTAATCAACTGATGGCCAGCCCGTTTCACCATTTCCTACAACTCCTTCCCTGTCTCATATTTTGAAGATCAATCAGCACTTGGTGGTTGAGGAGATCAATGCCGCACTGGCCACCTCTAACTGCCCAGGACTTGATCTAGTACCTATTTTAGGCTGGGTCAACCTGGCAGCCAAGGTAATTTTGGGGGAAACAATCCAGCTTCATGAAGATTTGAACCCACAGCCTTAGGGCCGCAGGTAAACATCTAGCTGCTACATCAAAGTGGTTCCTTGTTTCAAAGAAGAGGAAAGCAGAAAAGAAGAATGGGTTAAATCAAATCTGCCTGGTATAATGTTTTGGTCACACTATCTTTTTTGGCCTTCTTCTAAAAATGTGCCTTTTCTCGTGTGTTCAATATTTGTTTCACCAAATGACACCTTGCAGAAAACTAGTTAACATTCTACTGTTCTGTCCACATTCATTCTTTCTATCACTATTTCAAGACATTCTTTTATATTAAATGCTGATCAATTATTTTTTCACGTTTCCATATTTTAAATTTGTCCTAATTAACTCTGTATTCAGTAACAGGCAAACAGCACTTCAACTTACTGACACTCAATTACTTATAACTACGGTGATAAATGTTTACATGCAGAAAAGTTACAATAACAACACTAAGGGACAAAAGGAGTTGAAGTAACATTACGGTTAACATCACTTGGTAATAACAGCTACACACTGACCACCAAAGTGTTTATAACAGCATATCAAGTAAGTAGTAACTAACAAATGCATAGTGAGTTGATCGGCACAGAATCAGTTAAATTATTAAACATCCCTAACAGCAGTGTTCTAATGTAAACAGCAGTATTTTAGTATAAATAGCAGTTAGTTAGTTCCATAACCTTTAAAGGATGTTGCAGAACCAGTATTTTTTTGGCTGTTGTGGTTTTTCTAGAAAAATTTGACGTTCACTAGTTTGTCACTGCCATCTGAATGGTCAGCTCTCGGTACAACTGTCGAAACCAATGCACGACAAATTTTGTCGTCAACAAAGTTGACTTCTGCATTCAGGCTTTTAAAGGCGGCTGGCAAGCTGTGTTGTGGCTTACAGCAAAGCTGTGATATCTGCACTTTTTGACCTAATAAATCTAACTTCAGCAAATCTTTAATGACTTGCTTTTTGAGGAGCTGTGGGTTAATTCCCCCCCCCCCCCCCAAAGGGACTATTGAACCCCCATGAACATTTAAGACTCAGATATGATGTTTCCATGCATCAATTCACAAGCATTCACCCTTGCAGGCAGCAAAGACTCACACTAGTTAACTGAGGCATTACAGTCTCCTCATCTCCTATGAAAAAGTTGACTGATGAACACATGTGAATGTGGTGACCCAAGGGAGAGGTGGCAGTGAACCTCAGAACATGACGTCTGTAGTACAAACAGAAATGACAGAATCATTTTAAAAACTGCATTGCTAAAATTAAGGAACAAACTATAGGAATTACTTCAGTAGTAAACATAAGAATACTGTTACATTTAACGATAAATTAGTTAGTTAGTTAGTTAGTCTTTCCTCTTGTGTCGAGTGCGGCACATAGGGCAGAGGTCGTGACTCTCCATGCACGGCGGTCCGTTGCAATCCGTTGTAGGTCTTGGATGTTTGAGTGGCCCATGAGCGAGCCTTCCCTGATGATAGTTCTACGTAGGGTTTCCCTTGGTCTTCCACGAGATCTTTTCCCCTGTGGTGTCCAAATGAGGGCTTGGTAAGGAAGTCTTGATTTATCCATTCTAAGGACGTGGCCGACATAGTTCCAGCGGCGTTTTCGTATAAAATTAGACACATACTCTGCCTGGATTCTTGCCTTATTTGTGTATTGGTTCGGAAATCTGACCATTGAAATTTAGTATTCTTCTAAGGCATTTATTTTCAAAACTGTCTAATTTTGTGTCTAGAGTTTTCGTTGATTTCCAACTCTCGCATCCATAGGTTAGTACTGGAATCACACAAGAATTGAAGATCTTGAGTTTTGTGTGTTTGCTAAGTGTCTTTGATTTCCAGATGTTAGACAGTTTATTGAAGGCACTAGATGCCAGTGCTATTCTAAATGATATTTCTGGTGCGGTATCTCCTGTAGATGACATCTTGCTCCCTAGATAAGTGAAACTGTTGACTTTTTCAAGGCTGTTGTTGTTCAGCGTGATATCAACTGAACTGTTGGTAAGGTCTAGAATTTTTGTTTTTGCGGTGTTAATTTGGAGTCCAATTTGTTCTGAGAAATTCTGGAGTCGACTGATTTTTTCTTGGGCGTCTGTGTGTTCTGAACTCAGGAGTGCTATGTCGTCAGCGAAGTCTAGGTCTTCCAGAATTTTGTCAACCCATGTAATGCCTAAATTTGCGTTATTTATGCACTTGCGCATGACCCAGTCGATTGCTATACCAAAAAGCATCGGCGATAGGACACAGCCTTGCTTCACTCCTGTTTCCACCGGGAACCAGTCAGAATTGCCGGAATCAGTTCTTACACAGCATCGTGTTTCATTATAAAAAGATTTTATGATGTTGATATATTTGATGGGGAAACCATAGATGTTAAGCAATTTCCAGAGTGTTGGACGATGGATACTGTCGAAGGCTTTTTGAAAGTCGACAAAGTTGATCAATAATTTCGACTGGAATTCTGTAGAATCTTCAACAATTATTCTAAGAGTAAAGATGTGGTCTATGCATGACCGCTTGGATCTAAAACCGGCTTGTTCTTCCCTTAATCTTTCATCTATTGATTTTTTCAATCTTTCTAGTAGCATACTACAAAATAGTTTCCCTGGTATCGAAAGCAGGGTGATGCCTCTCCAGTTGTTACAATCGGATAAATCACCTTTTTTAGGTAATTTGAAGATTACACCATCTTAACGATAAATACAAGTTTATTATTAGTATGAAATATTTCATCAAATGTGAATATATTAATGCTTTATGCAATTTAAATATTTAAAAAAAAACACAAGATACATTTAAAAAAAAAAAATCTCTCCATGTCTGAGAGATTGTTGAAAGTGTTTCAGAATTTCTGTCATTCCAGTGTTCAATTTCCATGGAGGGTGGTTAAACAGAAATAGATTCTTTTTCTCATAGCTTCTGGAAAGTGATATGAGAGTCGTACTGTAGTAGAGATTGGTACCTCACCACATGATATCCTTAAAGACAGCAGAGGCTGCACAGATCCATTGCAATAATCCTCCAATGTGAAGAGACACACACAAAAAAGATGAAGGTTTTTGACTGTTGCTATGCTGTCCTGACATACATGGAATTTAAATAGAAAGATAGAAGGAAACACTAAACAACACAAAAATAAAAATAAAACTATAGTCACTGTGCTGGTACTTGAACCTGTAACCTCCAAATAATGAATGCTCCTCACTATGGAAACAAGTGTACTAAGATACATAACTAACTAGGAACCCAAAAAAAGGTGTCTTTATAAGACATGTCTACTGTACAGTTTAAAAACCAAAACTATGGAATACGGACATTTATATTAACCAAGCATGGGTTGAATAACAAACATAACAATTATAAACACACAGTGATGCTGTGTCTGGAATACAATGAAAATTTATTTTAAAAAAGAGTTTAGTCGGTTGCATTTTGTTACATGTAATACAAATAAATAAACAGAGACAGGACTATTGTAATTAATCCTGTCCATATGGTTCCCTCTTTATAAATGTATGTGTGTTACGTGTAACACCAGGCAACCAACCAATAAAATCTTGTTCTTAAAAAAATTATAATTTTATTCTAGATACAGCATTACAGTTTGATTAGTTTATATTTGTTACTGCGTGTGTAATTTGACCTATGTTTAGTTAATATTTATTTATATAACTTAATGTGCCATTTCAATGGTCTGAAACTAATTCTGTCCATATTCCATAGCTGTGGATTTAAAGCAGTACAAGGGACAAATGAAAACATGTGAAAGTGATGACTCAAAGTAGAGGTGGCACTGCATGTTCTTCCCTAGTTCAAGATGTACACTAACACTCTCTTTCCCAGTCAACCATTAGCTGTTATCTTTGTTTAAACAAAACCGGGTCTTTGTTTAGAGATAAACACAAACTATATATTGTCTCCCATGAGAATAGCTTTACTATATATTTAGGAATACAGTGAAACCTCGCTTAACGAGCATAATTTGTTCCAGAATCATATTCGTTAAGCGAAACCTCGTTATGCGAAACAATTTTTCTCATATAAATACATGTAAAAAATGATAATGCGTTCCACGTCGAAATAATACTCACAAAATGCTATGTATAACGTTTATTCAAAGAAAATTGTTTATATATATATTGTTAAGAAGAGTGAATCATCTTCATCTTTTCTTCAAACGCGAAACAAACCCACCTGGAATGCAAATTTAATTTGCAGAAAACAAAAGTCAAAATAATTATGATACATAGCTAATTTTTTTTTTTACTAGAAAGAAGTCCAGAGACATTTGTTTTTGCCGACGCTTCAAAATTTGGCGAAAATGCGACACAACATTATCACTGAATTAATTTGCAGCACTCATAGCCACTTCCTTATTAGGGCGATGCTTCTCAATGTAAGATGCAACAGTTTCCCATGTCTTCAGCATTTCTCTTTTTTCGCCAGAATATTGTTGCTTTTCTGTTACCTTATCCTCCTCTGACAAACTTTCCTCCAAAACTTCTTGCTGTGAAACACAATGCAATTCCATAAGCTCTTGGGTGGTCAGCTCTTGGCTGTGCTCTTCCACAAGCTCTTCGATATCACTGTTATCCACCTCCAATCCCATGACAGTGGTCAACGACACAACCTCGTTGACTACAGGTTCCACATGTACTGTCTCGAACCCCTCAAAGTCACAAATCTACAACGCTCTCCGTCCAAAGCTTCTTCCAAGCAGAAGTTAGGGTTCTCTTGGTAACCCCTTCCCCCGCCTTGTCGATCATCTTGAGGCAGGCAACGATGTGGAAGTGATTTTTCCAAAACTCTTTGAGAGTGAGGTTGGTCCCTTCAGTCACCTGAAAACAATGCTTGAAGAGTGCTTTAGTGTAGAGCTTCTTAAAGTTAGAAATAACTTGCTGGTCTATATACTGGAGTAATGGAGTAGTGCTTGGAGGCAGAAACTGGATCTTGATGAACTTAAATTCTTTAGAGAGATCATCTTGTAGGCCTGGAGGATTTATGTACACATATCACAATATAACACAAGTTCGAGAAGGCAAGGAAAACCTATCTTTGTATGTGGAGAAAAAAACACAAACTTGTAAAAAAATATTTACCCAGGTGGTAGACTCAGTAATGCGGATTTGGTTCCAGTTGTCCTCAGTCTAAGAATAGGTTGGCCAGTTACCAAGCTTTTCCATGAAAATGGCTCGGCTATGAGTGTTCCTGGCACTATTGTTGCTGGTATTTTTTGCTCACTTCCTGTCTGTAATGGTTCTAAAGACAATTAACATATTAATGTCATGAAATGAAGGAAATTATTTACGCACAACACATACAATTATTTTTGAAATAGTGTACACTGCAATCATTTACATTGTTTTACATCTGTCTGTAAATAAAAGCATGTAATTAAAGTAATGTTCAAATATCTGAAAGAAGCATCATGCTCATTTGGTACCACATTGGCTAATCTGTGTCTTGTCATTACTTGAATGGCATCTCACAATGTGCTGTTTTATTTTCTTGAACTGAAAATACCAATAAACACTAAGGTTTTTAAAATGCTAAAAAAAAAAAAAGTAAAAAAGTAAAAAAAAGTAAAGGACCCTTTTTCCACACCTTTAGGCGTATAGTACAAGACCTATATTTTTATAGACCAATCGGCACAAGATGGGTGATGTGGTCAGCATCCCACCTGCCGCTTTTACTTCCTAAGACTCACCCGGTACCCACTCAAGGCTGGGTCAACCTGGGAGCCAAAGTCATTTTTGAAAAAAGTCTGGCTCTGCCTGGGAGTAAACCCACGACCTTTCGATCCGCGGCGAGCATCTAGCCGCTCTGCCATGGTGACTCCTTTTAAAATACTAAAATTTAAGTAAAGTACACAGTTATTATAAAATTAGATTTCACCTTTGTACGTTTATGTATCACTTCCTATTGAGAAAAGACACAATATACAGGAGTGTGGCATACATAGCTCAGGGAACAGGATGTTCATCAGAATAAGTAAATAACTAGGTCGAGGAGAGCACACATGTCCTTCGAACTCATTTAAAAGTTAGCAACTCCTAATAACTCCTGTGCATGCAAAAGTTACAGGAACGTTACCACATTATCTTTGAAAGAATAGGTTTATAAGCATATCAGAAAGCTGAAACAGAGGATTAACACAGTTAGAAGCATCATACCAGGCTTTTGAACTTAATACCTTAATGTGGTAAAGTTATCTAAAATGGAAGAACAGGAGGTTAGGTTCATAGCACTGCTGGAGCATACTAGTGTCTTCCACTTTGTGTGAAATGTTCCTGGTATTTGATAAATTAAAATATTCTGAGTCTAAATTTTAAGTGTTCCTAGCAAGTAGGAGTTTATGAGGGGATGTTCTTCTTCTTTGTTCACTGGGTGTAAGCTTTGGCAGAAAATCCTGGTTATTGTTGTTCATTTGAAGTTTAGCTTTGTGCCAGGGCCTGAGTTTTGCACATGCATCCATTTTACTGGCTTATTTGTGTGCAGCTGGTTGTTCCTTGCTGTTCAAAAAAAACAAAAAGCACTCTGACTGCGAAGTTAGCTCCCAATTACAACATGCTTTTTTCTTGGATAGGCAGTGGGTCTATTTTTGTTTTCCCCACAATGAGGCCACAAAACCCTCAAGGAAATATGAGGGGATAAATTTAAAGCATTTATATCTTGTATACTATTTGAATGATCACTGAATACAGTCACAGTAAGGCAGACATCTATAAATGCCAGCGAGACCAAAGGCAGGACTAGGTTGCCTCCAGGTAGAAACAGTTCAAAAGCAAAAACTGCAGGTACTGAAAAAGTAATTTAGAACAACATTAAACACACAATCCCTCTTTTGTGTTCTAGGGCCCAGAAATGGGGGGGGGGGGGGGGGGGGGTACCCACCTTTTTACCAAGCATGTCCGAAATGACTTAATAGGGGTTTTCTGAAACTGGATGTACCAACTGCCCTGTAAAGGTGGTGGATGATGATAATAATGGTGGTGGTGGGGAGGAGGAGGAAAAGGAGGTAGAAGAAGAAGAAATAATACAAAATAATATATTTATGAATTCAGAAACAAAAACAAAACTAATACCAGACTTACTGTCATCTAAGTTCAGTGCCAAACTAAGTTCAGTTTCTTTTTGGCTCTGTTTTGACTGAACACTAGATTTTCTTTCTCTCTCATCATTATGCAGCGCTGGCGAGTCAAACCATTTAGCCAAGACAGAATAGGACACCACAATATCCATCGGTGCCAGACTGTCCACGACTAAGGCAGACGTTAAGGACATACAACAGACCAGAAACACATTCTACAACTGGCAAACTTTTGTTAAAACTGTCTAATGTCATACCAGAAGCTGAAGCAGTTCAACTACTCCTCAACCTCTCTTCTAGTCACAGTAGTTAACTACTCCTATCCACTCTGTTCTAGTCACAGGAATAAACGATTTCTACCCACTCTATTCAAGTCACAGTAGTTAACTACTTACACCCACTGTGTTCTAGTCACAGGAGTTAACTACTCCTACCCACTCTATTCTAGCCAGAGTTGACTACTCCTACCCACTCTATTCTAGTCACAGGAGTTAACTACTCCTACCCACTCTATTCTAGTCACAGGAATTAATTATATTTTCTGTGTATATATTGAATAGGTATGGTGAGAGAATGCACACCTGCCTCTCTCCCTTTTGCGCCTCGAACCAATCCGATGTTTCACCAGTTGCTCTGATGCTGCTTGTTGTTCATGATAAAGATTTACAATTAAATGCAGCAAATGCGCTGGAAACCCCATAGTTCTCCTAATAGTCCATAGTTTCTGATGTTGGACATAATCAAATGCCTTGCTATAAAATCTTTAGGTAGATCCCTAAAACTATCTACCCTCTATCAATGTTCGTACGCTAGTTTTGTTTACAGAATTTCAGCTTAAAGTTAGCTGTGGAATTAATAAAATCTTTGGGAAGCAAATAAGAGGATAAGCCATGCATGAGGTACCTGAGGTAGGGACAATTGCAGATGTAAGATGAGAAGCAGAAAGCAGACAATACTGGCAAAGCTCAACTGCAAAAAAAAACAACAACTGTTTTTACTGCCTAGATTTACCTCCTTTTAAGACAAAAGGTCTTGAAACTGAGGATTTAAGAATATATGGCCAGTGCAATCGCCACGAACTGTGCATATAAGGCAGTTATTTTAGCTCACAGCAGAAAGAAATTCCAACCTATCGAGGATTCAAACCTGGCTCTCCTGAATGAAAGTCCTGCATTCTAGGGCTGTACCGAATAGTGATTTTCACTATTCGGCCGAATACAAATCGTGGGACCAACTATTCGGCCGAATACGAATAGTGTATCATCATCATCAGGTGCCTTGCCGACTGGCCTGGGCGATCATGGCTCTCCACAATCTGCGATCTCCTGCAGCATGTATCGGTTCGTGTGCTGACACACCTTCATGCCATGCAATAAGACTGTCAAGAATCTTCTCTCGTTGTCTTTCTCTATCCCTCCTTCCACAGATCTTTCCAGTGGTCACCACATGTTCCATTTTCCCTCTTCTCATAACATGGCCGAAAAATGACGACTGTCTCCTTCTGATGTCTGTGATAAGTTGACTTCGGGCTCCCACCTCTTTCAAAACCATCTTCCGCTCGGCCATTCGTTCGATGTAATTTAAAAGCACCTTCATATTCTCGTTAGCAATATCTTCAAATTTGATTTGGGCGAAGACACCCTGAAAGAACGAAAAATGCATGATCTCTCTTCCTCTCTCGCTCTCTCTCTCTCTCTCTCTCTCTCTCTCTCTCTCTCTCACACACACACACACAGACACACACTCACACACACACGCACACACTGCGGTTGGCATTTTATGCAGTTTGTACCACGCAACCGAGTCGCAGTTTCCCCTGCTACGACAGACTTAGGCAACAGCAACAATTGTGTTAATGAGAGAGTTATTTTAGTCCATCGCAGTGTATGCAGAAACGGGTGTAAGGTAACCACTATTCGTATTCGGCCCAACCGCAACTATTCGGCCGAATACCGAATAGTTATTAGGTCCACTATTCGGCCCCGAAGCGTATACAAAGCGAATATTCGGTACAGCCCTACTGCATTCTAACCATTTTGCTAGCCACTCCAAAAAGCACTTAGAGCTGACAAATTTATTGAATGATGTCTTCATTTTTTTTTTTAAATATTCTAAGGTGCCAAACTTTAGAGCTCTTATTTTTGTACCCAGATCCTTGATTTATCTTAATTTGATAAACCAGGCTACTGTCTAAGGATACACAAGAAGAAGTGAGCTGAGCTATCACTTGCAACCTGAAAATACAAAATGAAGCAAATTATTACTTGTTAACTTAAACTTGTTAACCGAACAGGCACTTAAATGGGAAACAAATGGACTTAAAAAATGAGGACGCCCAATGAATGAATTAATGAATAAATGAATGAATGAATTAAGAATTTGACAACCACTGCATTTGGGACATTCCCACAAGTGCTTCGTCCCCTTCTTTAGTAACCAGTAAAGGATGCCCAAGAGAAGCCCTAAGATGAACACTGACGATAGAGGCCAAAAGAGTGGGACTGGATTCTAATCATAATATTGAAACAAATGCATATAAAACGGAGTGAAAAAACAAACTGTGAGCATTAGGAAACACACTGGTACCTCGGTCTGCATACTTAATCTGTTCCTGATCCTTGGATGTATACAACACAGTAGGTATATCAAATGAATTTTCCCAATAAGAACTAAAAGGAGAAATAATAATCCTCTCCAATGAAAAAAAAAGACCTTGACTCCCAGGTCAACCCAGCACTGAGTGGATACGGGGTGCAGTCCTCTGAAGTAAAGGCGGCTGGTGTGATGCTAACCAAATCACCAAGTGCAGATTGGTCTATAAAATATCGGAGTCGCCCCATATTCCTAATATGCCTAAAAGCGTGGAAAAGGGACCTTTACTTTACCTACATACTGCCTAATACTAAAACACATACACAAAAACAATAGAAGGAAACAGACTTTACTTTTCTAAAAGAGTCAGGTGCCTACTAGGAATGTTCTGAGAAAGGAAGAGAAGATATTGTTTGGAAGCTGAGCTGTCATCAAATAAAACTTTGTTTTTTTCTCTCCTCCCTCTCTCTTTCTCTCTCTCTCTCTCTCTCTCTCTCTCTCTCTCTCTCTCTCTCTCTCTCTCTCTCTCTCTCTCTCTCTCTCTCTGCTCTTTGGACCCTATTGAGGCTCATCAAGTCTGGCTTTTATTAAAAATCTCCTCAAAGAACTTTTCTTCTGTCTTCTTTTCAGAATGTTTCAGAACTGTTACATTGTTTCTTTCTCCAGACAATGTATTTGAGGCCTATCTTGACTGTTGCAGTGAGACTTCTCTGCAAAGTCTACGACATTTATCGGTGGCTTTGTTGGCATCTGTGGCTAAGGCCCTGTGAACGCGCTTTGTAATATTGGGGTGCCAGGTTTGATCCCTGCTGCGGACGATTCGTCTTGTGCTGGTTTGGAAAAGCTACAATAGCTAATAAATGCGGTTGGTTCTGCAACGTCCTGTAAAGGATTGATATGCCACTAGCTTTTGTTGTTGTCTTGAGAGAGGTAAATATAGACAGTGCCCTGTGTCATGACTAATACTGATTCATACAAGTTCATATTCCAAACAAAGGACCCATACCAAGCAAACGTTTTTGCATTTAAACCAAAGTGGACATATACCAAAGTATCACTGTAAAAGGAAAGGAAGAGAAAAGTGAGGAGAAAGGTGTAGGAAGAGAAAGGGGAGGAAGAAGAAGAAGGCAAATGGAAGAAGAAGAAAGGCAAGATAAAGAAGGGGAGGAAAATAAAGAACAGGAGGAAGCAAAAGCAAGAAAAGGAGATGGAAAATGTGGGGGAAGAAGACAGACCTGTCATAAACTTACAAACTATCATGAGTAGTAAACTTGTTTGGTGGACAGAGTCATAAGAAGATTATTATAATATATAATCCTTAGAAGACTACTAACTAATCACAATTGCATTTGTACTCTTGTTGATATCTGCAGTGAGTTTTTTATTGGCTGAGAGGAATAAGTGTCATTGGCCAATAAAGCTGATACAGCAGGTACAGGCTAAGATTTATTGGCTCTCCTCCAAACTTCTACACCATATTTTGATGGCTAAACAAATACCATAACAGGGTCTCAGTCCTCTGCAGACTTCCTGCTGAGAAACAAATCGCGGCAAAACTAGGATCGGCTCCGAATAACGAAACAAATGCTTTAACATGGTCTCAGTGATATGTTAACTGCGGACCTGTTTCTGCGACTATGTCGCACCGCCGACAGTATCCCCTGCGCTGCTACACGAGGCGCGGATGGTGGGCTAAACTAGATGGCTGGGTCTCACGAGCAGCAGCTACCGCATCTCCTGTAACGTCCTCCAATTTATTTGCTCATGAGTCCCAGGCATCTAGTTTAGATCTCCATCCGCAACGCGCGTAGCGGCGCGGGGGATACGCTCAGCGGTGAGTTTAATCGGAAGAACACTATCCCTAATCTGCATCGTAGCGCATGGTCTCCCTGCCATCTCCATATTATCGTCTGTAATGTTGCGTGTCTCGAAATAGTCAATGGTCGCTAGTATCGTCTGCCAGTATCATCTGCAGAAACGCTCGAAATTGTCAACGGTCACTATTATCGTCTGCAGTGTTGCGACTCTTGAAATTGTCAAGTAATCCTAGTTTTGCCACGATGTATTTGTCATAGGAAGTCCGAATTTTACACATGACTGAGGCCCTGTTAGGGTATTTGTTTGGCCGCAATAATATGGGGTAGAAGTTCGGAGAAGAGCTGATTTATTTTACCTCAGATGCATAAAAATGCCACTTGCCAATAGAGCTGACACAGCAGGCACAGGCTAAAATTTATTTTACCTCCGATGCATAAAAACTTTGAGCTTTACCAAGGAATAAAACACACATCTCAATACTTGTGAGGCATACATCCAACAAATTTTGCTTTAAACTACTAAAACTAAATCTGTTTATGAGATGGGGAGATATTAGAACAACAATCTTGGATATGCAATAACAGATGATGTAAAAGTAGAGGGCCCTTTTTCACTCACTCAGACGTACTGAGTACATAGGACTAGACCTATATTTTATAGACCAATCAGCACTCAGTGGGCGATGTAGTCAACATGAAACATCATGCCGGCTGGCTTTGCTTCTTAGGACTGTAACTAGTATAAGAGATGATTGCAGAAGTGAAAAAAAAAGGAAGTCAAAATGAGAATAGGAAAGGCCAAAGCAGATGTGAATGCAACACAAAAGTTTATTCTCAACAATTTGCTTGTATCTTGTGGTGACACAGTTCTCCTATATAATTGTTATGAGAAGGGATTGACTTCAGAATTTGGTGACAACTGGTAAGAATGATGGGAAAAGAGTAAGGGAGGGGCAAAGAGAAAAATATTTGGATGGCTTTACCATATGGACTAGAAAGTACAAGAGCACTGACTGGATCTATGAATAATTTGATCATGTGGGTTGGTGAATCATGATTATCTATGCTTTAAGGCAAATGATGATGATGATGATACACATATAATTACTTGTTTTGTTTGTGTTCAACAAACTGTGCCACAAAAATTGCAGTTATCTAGAGCAAACTAACAATCTGCACAGTTTGTGGTGACTGTACCAGCCAGGTACCAACAAATCCTCAGTCCAAAAATAGCCCTCCAAATCTACGCCATCCTCAAAAATGGAATTAAAAAAAAAAAAAGAGTGTAAAAGACAGTGTTTAAAATATCTCATCTCTCACATTAGACCATAGGTTACTTTGTAACAGTAATGAAATAAAATTGTTAAATGTTGAGTGGGGCTTCTGTGATTTTCTCCTGTTTGATTCTCATCTGTGAGGTGTTAACCCATCAGGCAGCATTCCTTGAAAGAAATAATGACTAACTGAGTAATCAGCTTTACAAAAAAATTATCAGATTCCACTGTTTATGACAAAATTGAAGTATTTTGGGCATATCAAGCGTCACAGTGGCTTGGAAAAGACAGTGATGGAGGGTGGAGTTTGGAAGGCGTGGCGGGGGTCGACCACCGCGAAGATGGATACAGGACATTAAAGCACTGGCACTGAAAGCACATGGGGCCAGAGAGCTGGGTAGGGAAAGGAAAACTTTCAGGCGTGCTGTGAAGAGAGTGATGTTCTGTAAAAGACTTGCTGATTGATGATGACTGTTTATGAAACCAAAACTTACTGCTGCTGTCTGAGTGGGTTTTTTCTCTAATTTCTTCTTCTTCTTCTGTGTGCAGGAGTGCAGGTGTATGCACACGTGCATGCGTATGCATGTATGCATGTGTGTGTGTGTGTGTGAGAGAGAGACCAACAGAGAGAAAACAGATCTTAAAAAATAAAAGAGGTCTGCTGGTATTTGTTAACTTGGAACCAATGTTGTATGCAGTGGCAAGGTGTGATCAGTTCACAAGTGTAAGCGCTAGCAGATAACAGTTACGCTGAAGAGGGTTTCAAATGCTATTTTCCTCATCCTCGCTTCACTATTGTGTTTAGGATGTGTGTTCAGCTAGAACAGTAATACTAGTAACCAGCAGTTTTCACACATTACAGTTTCCTTATACGTGGCGTAAGCATGCAGCAGGCATTCTTTTCCCTACTTTAAAACTCTTGACACTGAGTGGCATATTTGTAATAAATAGTAAACAATAATAATAAATAGTCAAATAATGTATTTTTCTTTTGCAATTAAAAGTGTAAGTGGTTATTACAGTTGTAACATTCACGTCTCATCGCTGGTTTAATAGGATTACTTATTCTTCTTCTTCTTTATGTTCACTGACTGTAAAGTTAGGTGAAAGATTCTGGTTGTTCCTCCACCTCTGGACATTGGTCTTGTTCCAGAACCTGAGTGTTGCATCCAACATGTTCTGTTTAACAGAACGTACATACTTGTATGTAGACTGTTGGTTCCTTGCCTCTCAGGCAGATGCACTCTAACTTCAAAGAAAGCTCCCAGTTAGTCGACTCTTACAAAATGCATGTTGGGGAGGCAAAGGGTCTATTCTTGTTTTCCCTCACAGTGGGGTCCAAGAACCCACACAGGCATTATGGGATTACTGATAAACACATGGTGAGTGGCCTGGTAAAGAATGCATTAACTTGAGAGACCCACTGAGGTCAGACAAGTTACATCCTGTTACGTCTCTCAGCAGTACCAGTTTTTTTTTAAAGGCTGGTTTAGTGACAGCAGATGGGATTCAGAGCTCCGTTACTTAGGCACTAGGCCTAGAAACAAATCTTTGTGTAATTCTCTCTCAGATAGCTGCAAACTAGTTTAGTAATGAATCTAGAGGAAACTCTTTATGCCATTCCTACTTTTTTAGTGCTCTGGTCACCCAAATGGCAATACATCTCACATGCCAGAGTTGAAAAGATGACAACAAAGAAACAGACAAAACTTGCTTTCCCTCTCTGCATGTTCCAGGATCCTATTTCTTTTAAGGGGAACAAAAAAATAGACCCAGTTCTCCTTAACAAACATGTCACTAAAGGCCACTAATTGAAAAATATGCTGAGATCAAATGATGGGTAAAAAAGGAGCTGCTATGTACCACAATGCATGAAACTCCACCAGGGCAGCACAGCGAGCAATAAACAAAGTTTATTGGCGACACAAAGTACCAACATTCAGATGAGAATCACCGGGCGCAAGTCCAAGAAACTCTGTTCAACCATTAGGTTATATCAGGGCCTCTGACAAAAGCCAGAGTGGGGTGTTAAACTAACCCAAATTTGCGATCCAGTTTGTGAGGTTATGTAGGTTTATTGTACCACAACACAACATGTCAGCTGCCCTTTAAAGGACAAATGGAGTAGAGGAAGTTGAAACCTGCTCTGTCAGAGGATTCATAAACAACAAACATACAAAAACAGTTACAAGATATGTTGATTTTAGTAAATACCTTAGGCTCAGACAGATGCTGGTTGCAAACATATGTATTTGGTTTGTGGTACACATAAAGTGTTCTGAAACAAAATGCACAGTAGAAGTTAGTACACTACAGTGTGCTTTAGCGGCTGTCACTCCATTTTAGAATGAGAATTGTTTTTGCTTAGTCCCCCGACACTACTTCTCCATTCTTTTATAACTGCTTCCTCCAGCTTCTTCCTCCTTTATCCATGACCTTCCGTCTTCTATTTTATTTTTCCTACTTTCCTATTTCTCTTTTGTTATTCTTCCTTCTTACTCATTTAAACAAAAATATGTCGTCAGTAATATTCAGACACTGCCCAATATTTTTTAACTTTCTCCTTTCCATGTAGTTCTTCCTTCAACGCAGTCTATCTCTAATGTACCTATGTATGGGCAGCTAGCAAAGAAGAACTTTTTTTTTCTGGATCAGAGATTACTGCCAGCACACAAGACATAAGAGATCAGGAGAGAAGACAGTTTAGCATAAGAAGAGCATCTGTATCAAACACTATTGCCAGTACACAAGAGAGAAGACAGTTTAGCATAAGAAGAGCATATGTATCATACAAGAGAGAAGACAGTTTAGCATAAGAAGAGCATCTGTATCAAACACTATTGCCAGTACACAAGAGAGAAGACAATTTAGCATAAGAAGAGCATCTGTATCATACAAGAGAGAAGACAGTTTAGCATAAGAAGAGCATCTGTATCATACAAGACATAAGAGATCAAGAGAGAAGACAGTTTAGCATAAGAAAAGCCTCTGTATCACACAAGACATAAGAGATCAAGAGAGAAGACAGTTTAGCATAAGAAGAGCATCTGCATCAAACACTATTGCTAGTACACAAGATAGAGATTGAGAGAGAAAATAGTTTAGCATCATAACAATCATAACATAGGAAGAACATATGTATCACACACTACTGCCAGTACACAAGATAGAGATCAAGAGAGAAGACAGTTTAGCATCACAGCATTGGAAGAGCATCTGTATCAGAGATTATTGCCAGTACATGAAGCAGCTGCCTGTGGACAGATATGGACCAATGCCATCAGTAAGGGCTATTAAATCTGCAAAAATAATCTTCTTCATGTTCACCAGCTCTTAACTTAAGCAGAAACTACTGGCTTTTCATACACTTCTGGACTTTAATCTCATTCCATAACTATTACAGCTCCATTTTACAGCAGTGGTTTTTTTGTATGCAGCCTGTTGGTTCCTTGCCTCTCAGGCAGATGCACTTTACCAGTAGTTCTTACTTCAACACTGTCTATCCTAATGTTTGTGTACCCGTGTATGGACAGCTGGCAACTTTCTATCAGGAAGAAGCAACTTTTTGTAAAGGACCAACTGCATGATCATTCTTATGGTGTGAACTTCGAAGGAAACCCCTAATTAGTCAACTCTCATGACATGCTTGTTATGTAAGCAGTGAGTCTACCACCCCCCCTCCCCACCCCTCCACAATGGGGCCCTGGAACTCCACACTAAGTATCTGCAAAATGTTAACACACATACCTGAAACATTTCATGAAAACATCAAAGTCCATCCAGAAACTTGTGGGCTTCGGAGGGCTGCTAGCACTACAACTCTCTGCAAATGCTAATTCATCATCAATGCCCAGACTATCCTCTTTAAGTCCACTTGCAAAAGACAGTGGTGGAGCCAGACCTCCGGAATCACCAAAAGTTGCATCCGATTTGGTTAACTCTGTTTAAATAAATGAGAGAGAAAGTAGAAAGGCTGTAATCTATGGGTTGCTTTTCTCATGTCCTTCTTTTCTTCTTCTTTCATTTGCTGGAAATAAATTATCTATACCTGCAATATTGTCTGTAGTATGAACTTCACTGTCTTTTGTAATTCACTTAGTGACCCGTACAGTTTTCTCATGTTCTGACTGGCTGGTTTTTGGCTAAACTGATTGTCTGTTTGATTAATCTGGTTGCATTTGGTCGATTTGAATTGTTGGTTGGTTAATTAACTGTTTTTAATTGAATGGTTAGTTACTTCCCTGGTTTGTTAGTTAGTTGCTTGCTAGGTTTAGTGATTGGTTGTTGGATTGAACTCTTTAAGTCCAATGTACTGGAGTTTAGGTTATCTAAATCTTGAAAACTGAGTGAATTTGAGGCTGTGATTTATCTCTCAGGTTTGTATTATCTCCATAGGATTGGACTGCACAGCTCTCATGCCCTCTCTAAACACACGCATGAAAGAACTTCATACCTTCTGCAGATAGTTTTAAAAAAAAAAGAGAAGAAGAAGCAACAGAGTGTTACAGATCCACTGCAAGCAATCTTCACTGAAAAGACAGCTATTATTGACAGAATGATTTATTATATACAAGGGGAAGAGCCACTCATGCTCCACACACTGCTTGAGGTTGGAGTGGTTAATAATGAATGCATGATGCATTGTCCAGAGAAGAAAAGGTTCAATGCTTCTGGTCCATTATTATGGACAGGCAGGCTGACTGTTCTTGACCTGACAAGTTATCTGTTTCAGGCCATGGTTAGCTATTGTGTTATTCTCCATAGGTGGACTGAAAATATATAGTTCCATCATGGTGTGACACTGTGAGCTTTGGATTTCATTTGTATTCTTTTTGATTAGTTTAAGGTAATTTGTGTTGTGAACTGCAGATTCAGAGGGGAGTTGAGTGGCTTGTTGTACAGAACTAGTGGTGCCTTATGCACTTACCTGCATGAGCAACTGTTGATTTACTGAAACTGCTAATAACATTGAGGATGAACTGCAATTTTTGTGGTGGACTGTTTGTACTTGTACTTCTGATGGCTGTCATATGGATTTAATGCTATTGGCTTTGTTGAGATGTAGAGTGTGTCAGTTTTTTCACAAGGGGACAATGATGGGCTTTCTGTGTGGTTTTTCCTGGCATGCAAATTGGAGAATTATGGGATGATCCATCTGCCATAAAGTTGGAACTGTAATTAACTGATTAAAAGAAAGAGTTAATACTCTGTAGCCTTTTTTAATGATTATCTTATTAGCATGCAGTCTTGACCACATCTACCTTGCCATGCACAAACTCACCACCAAATGATGCAGAACCAGCCAGTCTGACTGTTAATTTCCAAACATTCCTGCTACCCTGGAGAAAACGATTTTTGCTGAGGATGCACTTACGGGTTTGCCTAAAGTGAAACAGCTTTCAGAGAGGACAAAACAAGTTCCAGTGGACTGAAAGGTGAAGATAAAGATTCTGGCATTGGATACGAAACAGGTTGAGAAAACCTGAGAGCAATATAACTAGAAGTTGTTTGGCACTGGAATCCACAGGGGTGTAGAAATAAAGAAAAACCAAAAAGCACATGGAGAAGGGAGCTACAGAATGTAGTTAGAAAGATGGCGATGACATGGAAAGGGCTTCATGCTAGAGTGAAGGAAAGAACAACTTGGCATGAGTTGGTTGAGGGCCTATGCTCCACTGGGGGTTAGAAAGGCAGAAGAAGAAAGTGAAATATTTGATTTTGCATTAATCATTAGCTTTTTTCATTGCAGCCACTTCTTACTTCAACACTTTCTGTCTCAAAATTAATGTACTTTATGGTCAAAATCGTTCAGTCTGAATAACTAATCCTCATGTGGGTCCTGGTGCCCTACTGTAGGGAGAACAAGAATTGACCCACTGCCTACCCAAAAGCATGTCAAAAGAGTCGACTAGCTGGGAACTCTCTTTGAAGTCAGAGTACATCTGCCTGAGAGGCAAGGTACCAACAGTCTGCACACAAATGAGTCAGATTTGTAAAATGGATGCGCATTCAGTACCCAAGTTCTGGTACAGGACTAGAGTCCAGAAGTAAATGAAGAACCAAAACTTTCCGCCGTAGTTTACAGCTGGTGAACGTGAAGAAGAAGTCGAAGAAGAAGTAAAAAAGAATACTAACATTGAAAAGAATGGGATAACTCATTTCGCTGGGATAAAATAAATTAACTCTACATGTGTTTTGGCGTGTCCAGAGATATATAACATCTGTCACAGACTGACGTTATATTACCCATTATATCTGAACTATTAGTTTAGCTACTTCTGTTCCACTGTGTCTCTGTTGAACTCCTTCAGACGTAAGTATTTACTGCATTTAAGATCAAGCTTTCAAGATGTTAAGAGATAAAGTAACAGCATTGGACTGAAAGAATTAAAATACAAAAGGAATAAGGCAAAGAGACTTATTTGTATAAAACATATAAAAAGTAAAGATCTTTTTTCATGCTTTAGGCGCATCGGGTATATGGGAAGAGCATCCCATATTTTTATAGACCAATCGGCACTGGATGGGTAATGTGGTCAGCATTACGCCGGCCGTCTTGACTTCCCCAGGACAGCCATCTTGGTACCCATTTTAGGCTGGGTCGACCTGCGACGCCCCATACCATGATAAAAATCCACGCAGCCAACAGTGGGTTTTGACCGCGGTACGTTGGATTACGAGTTGGACTCACAACACCTAAGCCAAAGACGCCACTCGTATAAAACTTATAGTGAAACTAAAAAACATATAGTTCACTTGTGGTTTCCGGGTTACCATTGTGGGGGAGGGGGGTAGACCTTACACCCCCCCCAATCAGCAAGCCATAAGACTTGACTAATCAGGGATGGTTTCATTCAAAGTTAGAGTGTGTATGCCTGAGATGCAAGGAGCCAAATAGTTTGCATACAAATAAGCCAGATCTGTAAAATGAATCTGCTTAACAAGACTAATGTTCAGAAATGAATCGACAATCAGAAATTTCCGCTGGATTTTACAGCTGGTGAGCGTGAAGAAAACATATAGTTAGTTTTCTGGTACAAAAAACATTAATGCATATAGTATATTGTTTAACCAGAATGCTCGTATATACTCTTTAACTATTGAGTATTATAAGAGTTCTATCATACCTTTATACTCTATCTTACCTTTACACTCTATCTTACCTTTATACTCTATCTTACCTTTATACTCTATCTTACCTTTATAGACAAGAACTCTTTCTTACCTTTATACTCTGTCTTACCTTTATATTTAGAATCTGTGCTGGCTTCATGAGATTTTGACACAGTCTTATACTTTGATGAAGTCGATTTGGAATCCTTTGCAGACTATTCAAAAGTTTAAATAAAAAAAACTATCTGATTTACAAAAATAACAACTGGAAGAACAGAAAGTAATTTGAGATTAAACTGAGTTTATGCTAAATGTGTGAATGAAGGAATGAATGAATGAATAAAGAATTGACATTCCTGTCCTCAGGATATTCCCAAACATGCTCCGTCTCCTTCCTCTGTAGCTAACAATGATTCAAAATGCTAACAGTGCATCTGCAATCTAAATAAAAGTTTGCCTATGTCCCCCCCCCCCCCCCCCCCCCCCCCCCCCTCCCCGTTCCCCCAGTAAGGAAAATGCTTTTAAAGTGGCAAACCTGTCATTAAAACAACAAAACCTACAAAAAAATGTTAATTTTAAAACATATTTACATCCATTTGTTTTCAAATTAATATTCATAAACAACAAAATTACCCAATTCTTTGCATGCTTTTTATCAGCTTAATTAAAGAATACAAGCAACTTAGATACAGTTAGTGAATTCGAGCAATAAAGGAAACAGACACTGTATACTCAGTGATACTGTAAGAAAATATGAGTGTGAATGTGCACTGATGGTTTCAAAAAGTAAACAACTTCTCACATCATATTTGGCATGTCAACTTTGGGATCGGAAAGGCTGTAGGAAAATGCATCCCGGCCTGTGGCTTAGAGGTTGCAAACATTATTTGTAATTCTGACATACCTGGTTTGATTTCAGCTGTGGGTGAATTGTGATTATTTTGACAATGGAATTAAAATCCAACCATCCAGAAAGCAGTGGCAAACTACTGAAGGTAACATCTATCCAGTGACACTACAGACACACATAAAATGCTACTGCTGGTTTGCAATTTCCTCTAAAAGACAGACAACTAACTTTTTAAAGAATATTTTTTAAACACATTTCAGGAGAACTCTGTCCTAATTTCAGCTACAGTTTATCAATTCTCCACATATCTGATTGTGATGCTTATACATTTGGATAAGTTGCTGCTTATGTTATACTTAGAGTCAAACTGTGTTAATCATGTTCTGCTTTAAACAAATTGTTTATCCACTTTAGGAACCACTAAAAACAAGGTCAAATTCAACTCTACAGTGGTCTTGGTAGGACAATAATGGACGGCACAGTTCCTGGAAGTAAAGGCAGGAGTCAAGAAGCATTAGATATCCAACTGTCAGTAGCTTATGGTAGTTGATTAATTAAAAAATAATGATAGAGAGATTAAACAAGAGAGTGAAACAAAGGCAAAACTGAATTTGAAATGTATGATGCGAAAGAAATCAAATATTAGCATTCTTTTCAAGTCATTTAAATAAAAAGTATTTATAGAAAATAAAGAACCAGAGCCTTTGCTGGACGAGCTACGCTCAGCAATACAGTCTCAAGAAAGGGAAGTCACCAGGTTGCAACAAAATAGCAGGAGAACTAATTCAGGCAGGAGGAGAGGCCAGTATCCGAATCTACCATATACTATGCAATAAGATCTGGAACAGTGCTAATTTGGCCTAAAGCATGAAAAAGAAAAATCCTTATCCCTCTCCTAAAGAAAGGAAATCTTAAACTATGCTTCAACTACTGTAACATCGCATTAATAAGTCATGCTAGGAAAATCCTCTTATGGA